AAGCTGTTTTAAAAAAAAACCTAATTTAGGTTTTTGTTCAAGAAATTGTTCTCAAATGTTACTATTTCAAATTAATCACATACACATTATCATCATCACCAACAGCCTTTAATAGTCCACTGCTGTACATAGGCCTCTCCTTAGAAAGGAAGTTTTGGCTTACTGTACCACGCTGGACAGGCGGGTTGACATAGGGTTTCTGTCAAGTTTTCTTTCTCTTTACAGTGCTGTTATCCTGCGTTGTTTGCTCCCTGGGTCGGCTGTTACGACACCCACGGGATGAGTAGGGGTGATGATACTCCGAAATACATATTAGCTATCGTTTTAAAACAGTTGAAGGTGTGTAAAAACTTATATAAATAATGTCAAGCGCACAAAACGTCACAGACAGACACAAGTTAACCTGCTGCTGAAAAACCAGACTGAGTAAACAAATTAAATAATATTCTAGACGGGTTCGAAATAGCGTCTGCAATAAATGCCTATTTCTGAAATGTCACAGTACGCCAAAAGCCGAAAACTAAAGATTAATTTCTATTATAAGGGCTATACGAGCGGTCTTTTGCTAGCTTTTAGTGTGCTTATAAACTTTGTTTTGTATTTATTTTTCATAAAGCTTTACATCCAAACTTGAAAGCTAAAAAAGTTATTGTTGTGTACTCTTACGTTATTATAACTTTGATTTGTGTTGAATAAAAATTGTGACAAGAGATTTTTCTAGTGGGTAGATTTTCATTTTTATTATTATTCTTCTATGTTGTATGACGCCAGTAGAGTACTACTGGCGTCATACAACTTAGAACATAACTAAGTTACAAAGAAGAATGTTGTATACATATGTACAAGTGCAGAAATAATTTCACACACATTTAATAATTTCACACATCTCACACACGGCCGTCTGATCCCAAACTAGGCAGAGCCTGTACTATGGTAATCAGACTGCTGATAAACATACATATATATATCTAAATACATACATAATATAGATAGATTACACCCAGACATAGAACAAATAATCGTGTTCATCACACAATTATTTGTCCTGGGTGGGAATCGAACCTAGAACTAGACCAACAGGTCCGTCAAGAAGATAATCAATAAGACAATTTTTTTTTCATTAAGAGTAATTCATATTCATCATTGTATAAACATGTGTAGGAATTAGGTATTGCATGATGTTATAAGAGACATTTAAAAATAAATCTGAATTTCAAAACAATTATAACCATATCCTAAATCTATACTAATATTATAAAGCTGAAGAGTTTGTTTGTTTGTTTGTTTGTTTGTTTGTTTGAACGCGATAATCTCAGGAACTACTGGTCCGATTTGAAAAATTCTTTCAGGGTTAGATAGCCCATTTATCGAGGAAGGCTATAGGCTATATATCATCACGCTAAGACCAATAGGAGCGGAGCATCAATAAAGAATGTTTCAAAAACGGAGAAAATTTATTACTATTGAGAGACGCAGACGAAGTTGCGCCGGTCAGCTAGTAATATGATAAAGTTGAAAGAGTTTTTTTTGTGTCTACTACACAAAAAAACCTCTTTCAACTTTATGTTTACTTTTGTTTCGTTTTGTCGTGATCTTTACCTATATTAACGTAAACACGGATATGGGACTAAAACTGTAGAATGAAAATGTGGACGTTTCATATCTGCCTACGCCTTGTCTGTCCGTCTAACCCTTCGGGAATAATGGGGGGCGAGTGTATGCATAATGATGAGTCGTGAAGCGACTCGCCGCCAGCAACCCCGGATTCCGGGCCGCGCATGGGTGTGCCTCCGTAATGGCGTATTCCCTTCCCTTTCCGAAGCCAGGTTGGTACTTATCCAGAAACCTGTCAGGGCATCAGATTCTCCCTCGTCGTTCCGACCGATATGTCTGCTGGACACTTTGGAAACTCTTTGAACGAGTTATTGTTGGGTAGGTAGGGAGAGACGTCGCGTCACCTACCGACTGACGCAGGTACACACTGGGCTTAGTTGCTTCGGTGAGTACCTAAATCGTATTGGAGGCGAGAAGACGATTCTAGCCGTCGACGAGGCCGCAGGCCGCCCGGGAGTAGGGTCCTCTGGTGGCAGATTGATTGCTGCGGTATAAGATATGATGGCAACCTGACTGCATAAAGACGCAGCCGCCGCCATCTGCTGAGTAGAGTGAGAGCCATAAACGAGCTGCCTCATTACACAATTAATCAGTAATGCTCTATTATCCCCTTATTCTACTCTATTATACTAGTCATTTTTTTTTTTTTTTTTTTTTTTTTTCTTTTAAAAAGACAACTCCCGCATTAGGAATAAATCCTGTGTCGCGGGGGACTTTACAAACATACATGAAACGGACACAAAGAACACCCAGACTCAGAACAACAATTTGTGGATCACACAAAGTGTCGTCCCATGTGGGGTTTGAACCCACAACACTCGGCGCAGTAGGAAGCGGCGTGGCGACCGCTTAAACCACTACGCCATCCGTGCAGTCAAAGTCAAGTTTTGCATATACCATACCAAACTATAGACAATAAAAATAGTAGAAAAAAAGCTAATGTTCCGTAGGAGAGTCATGCTTCAGCACAAACGGGCCGGTTCGACCGGAGTGCACCACGGCCTCACATAAACCCCGTGTAAGCAATTCTATCGTTGCGTTTTATTCAGTATTAATATTATTCATTGATTGTGTCATATATTTGCTTTTTATTTTAAAATTACACAAATACACATTCTTTTCCAAACAATTATACATAATTACGGATTACATGCATCCAATAAAACATAAATATAATGAATGACCTATAAACTTATGAATGAAGTCATTGACAATATTATGTGGCTTTAATACTAAGCAATCCAACACTACTGTCTATCATATAAAGGTTCTGGCTCGTAAAACGATTTTTATTACCTCTCATCCTTGGCGCCCGCCGAGTGGTCATCAACTGCGCGTGAACAACAGTCTAAAGGGTGTTCCCTACGGTACACCTTAGCATCTCTCCGTGTCAATATAATTCATGTTGTGATTTCTAAACAGTAGAAAAAAACAACTTAAACAGTAGAAAATGAGAGTTATATGTTTTCTTATATATATAATTATTATCTAATGAAAGAGTTAAATGATGCTTCAGTGAGAACCATAAATAAAAGGGATCGGAATTCCCGGTGTTTCTTTCGAGGTACAGTTATATGACCTTTCTAAGATATCTAAGCTAATGCTATAATTCTTAATCCATCCATTTAAGCAATTTCCATTAGCTTCTCTTCTTGTCTACCCTTTCAATACTCGTATAGTCCTAATTTTCATATCCCTTATTGTCAAAGGATCCGGTATGCGATTTGCTCATTAGTACGTCAATACAGCAATGGAACCAATTCATTATTTTATTTTTAAGTAATATTGGTCAATTAAATATAATTTAAAAGGAAATACAACAATACTAAGCTAAATTAATAATCTGTTAGGTCGGCTAGTATTTAATAACCTAAAAACTTATTAGGAGTCAAGGTCAAAATTTGACTGATGCGTTCGGAGGTTAGCATTTAAAAAAAACAATAAACAAACAAAACTTTTATTATTTGGTATAGACAACTCAACCATGATGTTGTATGACACTTCGTATTTTTTATATTCATCAAAAACGTCAGCAAATGCTTAGTCGAGCTTGATTACGATAGCACCGAGGACATCCTGAAAAGCATGCTAATAACACGCTCAAGAAAGTAAACCATAGCTTACACACACACTCACAGATACACAGACACGTACGCACACATACACACACACACATAATTATCTATACTAATATTATAAAGCTGAAGAGTTTGTCTGTTTGTTTGTTTGTTTGTTTGTTTGTTTGAACGCGCTAATCTCAGGAACTACTGGTCCGATTTGAAAAATTCTTTCAGTATAAGGCTATAGGCTATATATCATCAGGCTAAGACCAATAGGAGCGGAGCACCAATGAAGAATGTTTCAAAAACGGAGAAAATTTATTACTATTGAGAGACGCAGACGAAGTTGCGCGGGTCAGCTAGTCATACATATAACGCAAGCATACACAAACGCAGTACATGTGTGGCACTTCCTTATTTGTGAATTTCTTGTATTTTTCCTTTTTTCTCTCTCTTTACTTAATTATTTATTTTTACTTTTTTTATATTTTAATGAACTGAAGAAGGTTGGATCCCACGACACAGGACATCCTACGGGAGCTAGCAACGTTTGGAAAGTAAGAATTTTAGGTCAGCTGATTTTGTGATATGTCGTCCTTCTTGCACTTTCGGTTAGACTCTGGGCTATCTGGCTGGCGGTAGCGGTTGCGTTCATTAGTGCGCATCCTACCTGTCCAGGTAGTAATCCTGTATTTTAAAACCATTTTAGAAGGCGTAATTTTTAATTTTTTGTTTTTAAATAAGTCTACCTGACATACTTTTTTTATTGCTAGACATTTTTGACAATGCTAACTATGTGCCATACGCGATTTTATTTTATTTTTTTATAAAAATTTCAAAGTATTTTATAATGTCTGTAATTTTAATATTATGTTATTTAAAGATAAGAAAACTTAAAATAAATTTGCCAGACATTAATTCGATTGTTAAGTCTTTAATTTAAAATTAAAAAGTCATGAAAAGTATTGCAGTATAATGCTAGTAGTCCGAGAGAGATAGTTGCAGAATAAGTCGAGAATGATACAGAGAACCATTACGAAAGTAAATTACTTTTCACTGTGCATATAATTAAAAAAAATAATAAGAATAATAATAATCATCATTCTAGTCAGAGCAAGTTTCAAAAAAAAATTTAAGCATAAAAAGAAATATAAAATTAGATTAGTCCATATGGGACGATGTAGTCGCTCAGCGACAAAGTCCTTTTATTAATAAATATAAAAAAAAAATTAGATTAAAATTTAAAAAACAACACTTTTTATTTAAATTGTTCTGATTACTAAATGTAAATTATAAATAAATTAATATTAAGTTTTTCAAGTTATTTCAACCAAAGTTACAAAAAAAAGAGGCATCTTCATAATCATCATCATCATCGTCGCTGTCTTTGTCAGTGTCATTCATGTCATCTTCTTGGGAACTTTCGTTATCTTCTAAAACTCTATCATCTGCAACAGAAAAAAAATAAACAGTGTAATTCTTCTAGTTCGTTATAAAACATTTTAGTTATTATTGATAAATATTCCATTTCACACTTACTTTGAACAATAATATCTGCAACTGAGGATGGTAATTGATCTCCCAAAAACCAGACAAAATCATATTTGTCACCGTTAATGGTCCAACCGAAAGTCATTGGAGATAAATATGTTGGCTGTTTTGAGTGAGCATTTCTCCAAATTTTCGTCACGTAACGAACCCTCAATAAATGCTGTTGCAATTCCGCTTTACAGGGTGGCAAACTGGATGAGTCAAAGTTTCGAAATTTTTTGTTGAAGTTCTCATCTGATTTTTTAGACTTAAACGTACTTGAAAACAAATGAAATCGAACATCATTAACATTGGAACAATTTTTAACTCCATACATTTGACAAATAAATTTTTCCAGGGTTACAAACGTAGTTTCAAGTATTTCTTCGTCATCCGTAATAATATTATCAAAAGCTAACTGGTATTCTTTAGAATTTTCTAATATTTTAAAAGGCTTAACTTTGCCTTTTCTAAAAAAAGCTGGCGTGTAATCACATCCGGTTATTGCGTGGAAGCATGGTAAAGCTTTGCATAAAGAGTCACCAAGAATTTGGTGTAATTCATTGATGTTTATGTAACGCTGATGATTTCCAACACCCATATTTATCCAAATTTTCAAAGATGCTTTCAGGTGATCCATATTTCCCAGAAGTATAATTAAAATATCAGAATCAGAACAGCGTATAACAACGTCTGCGTCAAAATCGATTTGGCAAATATAAAAAATAATCCTAGAATCAGCTTCTTCGTGTTCTTCACACGATAATGATTCTACAATAGTTTTAATTACTTTGTTATTTATCACTTTGTATGAATAACATTTATTGAAACTTACGTAAATGTTTTTATTACCAATGAAAGGCAACATGTCTTCACTACCCCAGTGATCAATGAAAAAGTTAACTAAAGCTTCTTTAAATTGCACATTTTTAAGTTCAGCTGCGAAATGATGGGGCCGAATTTGGTTAGGACCGATTGAGACAGGGCTGGTTGCTTCTTCTCGCCGTAAACGTTCACAATCTTTGATAGAAGGCGAAAAATATTGGTCGAAGACAATATCAATTCGAACAGATTTCATTTGGGAGACAGTACTTAGAAACTTCTTAGAAATACCGTCATAGGTTTGTGGCACATCTTTCATCAGATGCAACAAAAAAAAACCATCAACAAGACAAACATCAAAAGTTGACGGTTGTCGATCTATAGTGTTTTCCAATTTCTTCTCTATTAGCTTTGCTAATTGCGATTTGTCGGTTTTACATATTGAACCATCTGGATGACACATTGACGTTGGCATCGGGGTAAGTGGAAATGCCAAAACTTTTTCAATGTCAACCTTGTGAGTGAGAGAAATACCCAGCATTCTACCAAATAGATCTCTCTGCATTCGCAGCTCAACAACTTTATTCCCTAGCGTCAATTTCTTTTTTTTTGGCGCTTCAGCGAAATTAAAAACTTTTTTTTTTTTATTGCTTTATCAAATCTACTCTCATCATCTGCGCATTCATTGATAAATTGGTTCCTTAAATTCTCACCATTCTCTTGAATATTCAATAAAAAGTCAGCAACTTCAGGAGAAGCAGGCTTTGAAGTAGCAATGTTGTACAGATTTTCTTTATCTAATTGTGGATTGAATGGATTGCAATTTGCTTTGAGAATTTCAATAAAATCAGCAATTTGTTTTCCATAGATTTTAATTCTGTTCGGTTGTAATTCTGCTGTTACATCTTGTAAGTACCTTAAGCCACAAACATCCAAGACATGTGATATCAATGCTGCTCTTATGCTGTGACTTTTTGACCAGCGTTGTCGTGCAGCTATAGAATTAGTAAAGTGAGCAATACCACTCAATCGTTTAGCTGCATCAGCATTTATTGTTTGTTCTAGAGTGAGATCTATCGGTATTCGTGAGAATGGTTTATCGGTTCTTTTTACTCCGAAAAATCCTTTATAAAAATCATCTTCTAGTCCAGGGTGGGTTTTATTGACATTATTCAAATTTTCCGAATATTTTACACAATATCGAGCGTAGTTAGGCTGATTAACAATAAAAAATAAATTTGCCATTTTCGGAATCACGTACTTAAACATTTCAAAGTCACCCATACGTATGCTTCTCGACAGGTTTATGTAGTGACTAATTAACTCGATGTAGATCATATAAAATTGTGCTGTTTTTCCGTGGTTGCCTTGTCTGGAATTTTCTACGTACCTTTTATAAGAATTGAGCAGTTCCGATAACACTTCATTTGGTATTAAATCTGTGCTCGCTGATGGTGGTAACGAAATTTTTTTGTTTTGATATTCTAGCAGATCTTCATAAATTTGTCCTTTCACAAAATCATGTTCAGCATTCTTACTCTTTAAAAATTCATCGAAATGCAATATTTGTAAGCCTAATACCATTAACGGGTGTAGACGTTTGCAACGGTTAAAATGTTTACCCTCAAGTATTCCATTTACAGACCCCGAAGCAATAATTTTACTCTCAATCATCATGTGAGATAACCCGCACTCATTGATGAAAGTACCAACAGCTTTAAAAAAAGCCATCATTAAATTAAACGAGCCAAGATGTATGAAAAGATTATTAAACTTTAAACTGTTGCTTGAATTTTATAAGCTATTTTAGCAATGGCTAAGTCATAGGTAACTTGTACATAAGTTTGACCACATTCTTTAGCAACATTTTGTGCTTGTTCCATTGTGTAAGCTACTACTGATACATTTGTCGGTGATAAATTAATAGGAGTGAGATAAGACACTTTCTGTGTTGGACTATTGTCTTCTAGAATTCTGCTATTGAATCCTATCCACGATGGTGTGTTCGGCACGTGAAAAACATATGAAAGCAAATGCAATAGATCAATTGTTTGTATAGAGGAGAAATTTTCGAGTAAAGGTGATGGTTGATCGATTTGAACTGGCGTTAAGCGACCCAACATCTTTAATCGCTTGCTATAAGGAATAATATCTGGAGTAATTTCTGTCAAAGTTCTTCTTCTTTTTTGAGGCGGTCTTGTTGGTGAAACATTTTCGGAGTTTGCATTACCATCATCTTGGTTCAATCCACTACAGGAATTATTATCAATGTTTTGGTATATAATCCCCACAGTGTCATGTAAAGTTTCTTTTCCATTCAACGTGTCAACATATCTATCGAAATTATCGAACGCTACACCAGTGCATAGCGAAGGATTTAAAATAATGTCTGGAGGACAAACTTGGGATTGACGTACCGATGAGATAGTTGCTTCTGTTTCTAATTCTTCTAGAGTGGTATAGTTACAGCAATGTCCAAATCTATTTAAAATACTTATTATTTTTCTGCTGCTTGTTAGACTTTTTATAGTTATACCAAGAGTGATATGTTTAGATGGTTTAACAGTACCATTACTTACACAAAAAATGGCATCAGCAGCCAGAGAGGAACTCAATCTACTACAATTTAGACTATCTCTGCGTCTTATATCTTTACCCCCCATCAATACTTTGAAGAATCGATTTAATTTATCAGGAATCACGCATTCACCAGTAATTAAGTCGTTTGTTTTAATTTTCGATGGTAATTTTGATTTTTCAATTTTTAAAATAGCATTTCGCAAGGTTAATGCAACTTTATCAATTAAGTTGTCTTCTTCAAGTTTTGTAAAATCATTTTCTAGTAAGCTGCAATCTTTATGAATGATAATTTTTTTCTTTTGCTTCGATATAAATTTAATACTTTTCTTAAAATGTTTTTGTATTTTTTCTTCTAGATAATGATTAGTTATTAAACTAATATCTGACTGAGGCTCTAGTTTCTGCTCATATTCCAAATAATGATTGTACGTATCACAGAGAGATGATAACAATACACAATTTTTTTTTGCAAAACTTCTTCTTCTACCGTTGATACAATATGATTAAAAGTATATTTATAGTTTCAGACATTCCACATACTTCTTGGCATAAAAATCGTAATATTCGATTTTTATGCCAAGAAGTATGTGGAATGTCTGAAACTATTTTATTATAATCATTTAAGTAATTTAATTCACATAAATGATGATAAAAAATTGTTTTATTTTCAGATTTAAGACGATTAATTTTCTGTAATAATTCTTCATTATTAAGTTTTTCCATCCACTCAATAATTTTATCATAAAGCTTTGCATCGTTTGAGGAATAAAGATTTTGTTGTTTACCCTTATTCTGTTTACGATCTTTATCACAAAAAAAGCAAACATTTTTGAGTTGTCGTTCTTTTCCAATATCTTCAATATTAGTGTCAGGAATTTCATTAAAATCGTTAGTTTCATTGATACTTAAATCACAAGTCGAGCTGGAAGCAACATCTTCTAACGTTGTCTGACTATCTAAATTTGAAGCAGCATTTTCTGATGATATCTCACGGTTAAAATCTAAATCAGGATGTCTTGATATGCTCTGGTTATTTGAACTAGGAGCAACATCTTCTGGTGTTATTTTACTGTTCAAATTCAGTTCAAAATCTCCTGATTTTGTCTGAATGTCTAAACTTGAAGAAGCAACCTCAATGTAGGAGCTTTGAGTTACGTTTCTTGGAACAGTTTCACTAATATCTACTGGAGTACTCGGTGACAAAGTGAGTGAAGTGGAGTTACTGCCATAATCTGTTTCTGATGATAAATCACGGTATTTTGACATTAAAGCAGTAAAACTACTATAACATTGTCTATGATATCCATCTGTCTTATTTATTTGCGTGGGCAGCTCAATGTCACTGTACTTTAATTTATATTTCACACGTACACTTAAAACTTGCTGACATTTTTTTAGTTTATCACCCACGAAAAGTATTATGTTATCGTTATGTCCTTTACAAAAAACACATTTTTTTTTATCATTGGCCATTGTAACCAAATTAAAAAATAAACATTAAAATCAAAACAAAAACAAACATGTGACATTAGACTGACGCCATCTTGCAAATTTGCCTGTCGCACCACTGTCGTTGTCTATCTCTCTCGCACCTTCAGCTGTCTCTCTCGGACTACTAGCATTATACTGCAATACTTTTCATGACTTTTTAATTTTAATTCAAGACTTAACAATCGAATTAATGTCTGACAAATTTATTTTAAGTTTTCTTATCTTTAAATAACATAATATTAAAATTACAGACATTATAAAATACTTTGAAATTTTTATAAAAAAATAAAATAAAATCGCGTATGGCACATAGTTAGCATTGTCAAAAATGTCTGGCAATAAAAAAAGTATGTCAGGTAGACTTATTTAAAAACAAAAAATTAAAAATTACGCCTTCTAAAATGTTTTTAAAATACAGGATTACTACCTGGACAGGTAGGATGCGCACTAATGAACGCAACCGCTACCGCCAGCCAGATAGCCCAGAGTCTAACCGAAAGTGCAAGAAGGACGACATATCACAAAATCAGCTGACCTAAAATTCTTTCTCGAAAACGTTGCTAGCTCCTATACCACTAGTGTGGGATCTAGAGATCATACCCTGTATCTGTATTTTTTCTAACTAAAAATAAAATTCTTAATATTGCAGTACACAGACAACCTCTTTATTACACGTGAAGCTTATACAAAGTCAAGTAGAACTATCTACGCTATTCTTGTTGATGTCAAATCAAAATCAAATTAGGATTGAGTACTGGTTTCAAATAATGCTTTGTTATAATGCAGACTAAAAAGTATAAATTACATTAGGTACAAATATATACGTATACTATTACTTTCAAAAAACCCTCGGCAAATACATCATACCTTTCTTCGCATTTAATAGGATACACCTTTTGAGCAATCCTACCATTGGAAAAGGTAAATCAGGTAAGCATGGACCAATTTCACATTACGCATTAAGGACAGGTAAAAAAGGTAATTTTATAGTACTGGCAGGGGAATGGGTTGAACACAAAAGAAAGAAAAAATGTGTCTCCATTTCATCAATTTTATTTTTAACGGCCCTTTATTGGTGTATACCAGTGCCCAGATAGCAGAAAATAAAATAAAAAATATTTTCAAAGAGTATTTTAGATCATTTACCAGTATACATCTAGATTAAGTGTCGCAGCACAACGCGACTAAAATAAACGGAGACAATTTTTTGATAACCTCTGCTGATGTGTGTGCAAATCGAGTATTTATAGTGACAGCTACAACACAGCTTAATACAATATGACTGCAACACATTTATTTGGCTGGCGTTAGTTAGTGACCCTAACTTCCATTCCAGAGGTCGTCAGCTAGGCTCTGCCTAGTTTGGGACCAGGCGGTCGTATGTGAGTTGTGTCAAGTTATTATTTGTTATTATTAAACGGCTTACTAACTGTTAGCTATCTTACTGAGGATAAAATATTTTTTTGCACAGAAACTTTTTTATAGATCATGCGTTTTTCTTACAACACTGTTGATTAAAAGATTCGGTGTTAATTAAAACGTTGCTAAAACGATATTAATCTCATAGATATTTAACCTTTAAATGCTACACTGGGTAGCCGTACTCTCGCTCCGTTTTTCTGAACGATTATGTTAGTGGCCGCAACAAATTATTTAGTCTGGTCCCAATTTTTTTGCTTGATGTTATAGCAATGTCAGTAGGTCAACTCTCTGTAAAGGGTTATGTCAAGGCAGCTAGGATTAGGACAGTGATCTATATCAACACCCCACTACGATAAGTTCAGAGTTCTGCCCGCTAAGCGGTTACGAAGATGGAACGCACATTACGTTTTCGATGGATTTGGTCTTAAGGCATTTTCATCAAATTATTCATCAAGTGCGTTCAGGACTGCCGCTAGTGATGATTTAACCTCTCTCAAAGAAGGCGCCTGAGCTGTAAGTGCAAGGTCGGCTATGAAGCCGACCTTGCACTTACAGGGACTCAACACGCCGTCTATGCAGACGGAGTGTTGAGTCCCTGGTGTTGTGGGCTAGTCATTTGTGTTTATGTTAAATAGGTTACAGTAGGGGCCAGTACACTGCAGTGCATTTGGTGATTTCGTGGGTTCGATTCCCACCTAGAACAAATAATGGTGTGATAAACACGATCATTTGTTCTGTTTCGATGTAATTTATATGTAATATGTCATGTACACATACATGATATAAAAATAGAATAAAAATAAAAATAATCTCATACATCTCATATACAAGCGTCTGATACCAGACTGCTGATAATATTAATGTTTCTAAATATGCATTTATGGATAAGGTTATTACAATTATTAATTTAATCAAAGTGAAATGCGTCGAACATACAAAGGTAGTATTAAGATAGCCTTGTTTAAAAAATTAAAATTTATATAATTCAAATTTTAAAATATCTATGCACGATAAAGCGGAGGCTATAATTATCAGGATCCGCGGAAGACCTCGTTCGGTATAAGGAACAGTTATTGCGGAAGCAGGTTAACGTTTGTAGAGAACGACTTCACAGACTGTTGAGTAACCAGTGCACTAAGGTTACGTACTAAAGACACGACTTAAATACAGGGGGAGTTTAAAGTTATGTAATAACCGTGTCCTCCTCCTGTAAATAGGGTGTATAATTGAATGTTTCTGTTTTTGACAGATATGAGATAAAGAAAAACAGTTAAAAGAACTTTAAAAAAAAAATATAACTGTAAAAAAAGAAGTCTCAGTAGTTTAATGGCTATGGTCTAGAAGTGTGATCACCTGCTTGTGGGTTTGTGTTGGGGGTCCCCAGTACTCGACCATCCTGAACCAACTTGTAAAACAAACAATTAGCTTAGCTGGAGACCAACGTTTAATAATATGAACTAATAGAAACTCGATTGAATTAATATCGGTTTGTGAGGACCCATAAGTTAAGACTGAAAACCTTATTTTTTTATATTATTTGTGATTATACTACAGGTACTAGGTAGGTAGTAGATTACCTATGTAATGGAGAAGAATTCATAACTTTCATCTGTCATTTCCTCCCTTGAGTATACCCCAATATATCCGCGACCTTGAAATATGTACATATTTGTGTCTGAGGCTTAGACTCTGAGCACAGTGAAGTTTCAGTCGGTACGATTCTGATATACCGCTACACCGCTCATTTTCCAAACAGGAAATATAACTTCCTTCTTTACAGTTTTATACAATATTCATATACAGTTTTATTCAATACAAAGGTTGACTGACCTGTGACCATGACAGCCGTTGCAACCTTGGCGGGCCGTCAGGCATTTCTGGGCATTTGAAAGGTTACTTTATACCAATCGTGAGCGCGTTAATTTCCGTAATTATTATAAACATTTTGCACATGGCTCTAAAAGTTAATGGTACCTAAAATTATGTATTTCACTAAAATCAAATTGAAGTTTTCTATTCTGTAAATTTTTAGCGACAAAATAAGGGGCACTCGTATCCCCTAACTGTGCGGTCAGTAGAAAACCGGATTTCTCTTACCCTATATTGAGTTTATGTTAAATCTAATTTGAAGGGGAGAAATGGAGCTGGGGTCCGTAATGGTAACCTACTTGTATGTTTGTATAACGGCCTGAATCGATAGGCATTTTTAAGTGAATGGTTTTTTTTATATATATTTTTTATACCGCCATAAATTGCTCTCGAAATGCTATTGTGAGTTCATATTAAATTCTTCTGATTCCAAACTAGACTGAGCCTGTACTATGGTAACCAGACTGCTGATAAACATACTTATATATATATTTTTAAGAAATTAGGAAAATATACTGGGGGACTTTACAAACATACATGAACGAACACCAAGACTCAGAACAACAATTTGTGGATCACACAATGTGTCGTCGCATGTGGGGATCGGACCCTCAACACTCAGCGTAGTAGTAAGCGGCGCGACGTGGCGACCGCTGAAACCACTACGCGCAGTCATATATTTATAAATCAATACATATCATAAAGAAATTACACCCAGACACAGAACAAACGATCGTGCTCATTACACAATTATTTGTTTTGGATGGTAATCGACCCCTTCGACATCGGCGTAGCGGTCAGGGTCACTAACCACTAGACCAACAGGCCCAACGTAACTTTTTAAGGTTTTGAAGCGTACACAAACCAACTTAACATTTTCCTATACCACTAGCTGTAATCTACCACGCTTTGCTGAGGATAAATAAGGAACAAAACTTAAACGAAAAAGTACCTAGTGTAAAATTATAATAATAACCTCACACATCTCACACCCAGCCTTGTGATCCTGAACTAGACTACTAGAACCAGAAATCACATAGTCCGGGTCCGCCTGAGAGTAGTAGTAGAGGCAGTTTTTAGTGGAAACACCACATACTCCTGGCTCCTGCGTCTTCGAGGATCCGGAGATCAGAAGTTATTTTACACCTTGTCAACAAAAAACATGATAACCAGACTACTGATAAACATACTTATATACTATGTTTCTAAATACATAAATAATAGGTCTTTACCTATGAAATTGCCGTTTTGTATGCAATAAGTGAAAGTACTTATTTTTTCAAACTTTTTTATTTCTGTTATTCGAAGTAATCACCCATGCAATCGACGCATCTTTGCCAACGCATTGGCAGTTTATTGATGCCCTTCTTGTAAAAATCAGCTGGAGGGGGGGGACTGTCTGTTGCGCAGTATGGGGTCGCGCGTTGTCGTGAAGGAGCAGTGGGGACGACCGATTAACCAAAGCTGGTTGCAGATGTGCAAGGTTCTCCATCATTCTCCCCAGTTCACAGTACACACAGTAGACAACTTTTAGTGGGTCCGCCGATATATTCTTCACATCAACAGCCTATAACAGTCCTCTGCTGGACAAAGACGTCTTCTTCGAATTAAAATGTATTTTTTGTCTATTATACCAAAGTAAATTGTGCAAATATATCATTACGAGACATATAATTTAAAGATATGTTTAA